TCTTCGCTCCTAATCTTCCAGTTGGAATGGATTAGACCAACAGTTGGATCTTGGAGGTGCTCGTGAGAAAGAACGTCCAGCTCCCCAACTTTATAGCCTTCTGCTACTCCCCACTCACTGCCTCTCCAATACTCAGCAGAGGGAACGCCTTCTGACATGTCCTAAGGCTTTCAAGCTCTGTCGCCAGAGAACTGAGGATTGTCTGTTGCCATTGGGCTGGAGGGATGTCAATCCCCGCCGGGTTCCGCCTCCCCTCACGGTTCAAATTAATCCTTAGGCGCCTGTCTGTATCTCTTCTTGGTAGTGTGGGAGGTGACTCGCCACATCTTTTGTATATTGTACTTTGCCAGTGTTTTCCCAAACGTAAAAATCGTGTGCAATCTTTGACCTCTTGCACAGGTATACACCAAAACAGAATCACATGACAGTAACAAAAGAAGCAACAATGACAGCCGCTCTTATTGATGGAGTATTTGTGCCTGGTGTATTTGGACACTCATTTCATGCACTTATTTAAGCTTCGCCACCTTACTAGGTCGTACTGGCAGGAGCACGGGCTTTTCATGGCTGTGGCGGAGCCCAAAGAGGGAAACAGACAAACCCAGTGGCTCCTAACCAACCTCAGCAAGTTTGGGTTGCATGTACATGCCACTGTCCAAAGCAAGCCACAGGGCCAAGACTGACGGCGATGAGGTGGAAAGGCTCTGCAAAGTCACGGGGCAAAAGATGGGGACCCAAGGAAAGGTGAAGATTTGAGAACAATTTCCCACGCCCAACACCTGGTTCTTCCAGTTCTCCAAGGACTTTCAAAAACAAAAACAACAACATAGAATTAAGGTCACCCAAATTCCCAGAAAATCAAAATAAGTGTTGTTGCAAACACGTATATTTAATGTGAAATGTGTGCGCATTTTAACGTATTTGATAGGCTCTGGGGTGTGTCTTGGGAAAGCACTGTGCTTCGAACCTATGTTGTATTGAACTGCTCTGGGTGCATAAATGTGAGCATCATATTCACTCAACTCTGTATCCCCAATACCCAGCACAACACCTGGTGTAAAGCAGGAATCAACATGTGTTTTAAATGAATGAAATCATGTTGGCAATTGAATTATGTGTGTGCCTTTTCCATCTTCCCTATTTGAGGCCGGGACTTTTTTGAACATTTTCCCCGTTAGAGAATCCAGCACTGGACGTTTCACTGCAAATTTATGTGTTGAATAAATGAATGGATGAATGAAAAAAATAAGTAGGAAGACGTGAGTCGCTGTGCATTTTTGCAGCTAAGTATCGAAGGCAACCATGGTTCAACAGTTTGGCCTCTGGTTTCAGATCCTCCTAAAAAATGTTTCTGGGCAACTAAATAATTGCTCAGCCTTTGATCTGTGACATGAGGAAGGTGACCACAGCTTCCACACAAGGATATTGAGAATATTGAGTGAAGCAGGCACATGTGTGCGCCAAGCACAGAGACGGGCTCAGAGCAGTTCCCCAGCAGATATTAACTGCCTGTACACCCTCTTGACTCCTATGGACACACATAAGAGTCAGCTCATCCATGAAGGCAGTCAAACAGCCAGGGTGACCTTTGCTGAGGAATCCCACACGCCTCTCCTTCTTTTTATAATTGCTACAAAAGTAACTACAAGAAAATTTTACGTATCAATAACAATTGTATTTCTAGCTTGGTCACATGTCTTGCTTTATCAAACCGGTATTTATTTATAGTGCTTTCAATCATTAAGAATGAGTTAGGGCAACCAAAGAGGAAATTTGTATAGGATACGATGACACTGGAATTTTTGTTTATTTAGTTTAGTTTAATTTTTTTTTATACAGGAGTCATGTATTTTAAAGTAAATTCTGAAGTAAAAGTGGAAAACAGGGCATCTTCATATTAGATATAATCTTTCCCTTCCCT